AGTGACAAAGAGTTCCTTCCATATTCATGAAGGACGGCAGGAGCCTGGACACTGCATGAAGGTGGGCCTGAGGGCTGGAGCATGATGGGGTGTGCGTTATGCCCAGGCCTGGGGATTTGGGTGGGAACTGTCTCGGTGGAAGGAATGGGGAAAACAAAGCCATAATGTGGCCCAGGCAGGAAGTGGGGAGGGAGAGCTTCTAGCCAGGAACTTCTTGCCTGTCCCGTGAGCCTCTCTTCTACCCACAGCTCATGCTGGCCTGGGAATCTGAGGATGTCTCACCTTCCTTCCGAGGCAAGAGCTTTCCAACACATGACACCTGTCTTGCCTTCCCTGGGCTTCCTCCTCTAACATTTGGGGTGCTTTTCCTGATCCACTGCAAAACCACCACTTCTTTCATACAACATTCGGTTTGAGAGCTTCTTGTGCCCTTTTATAATGGTGGTGTGTGTGTTGGGGGTGGGGTAGGATATTCTTGTCTCCTTGTTGAGCCAATTTTCTCCATGTTCGTGATGAGATTTATCCATCTCTATTTTCTCAGAGTGGAGTCAGGGTGGACCCAGGGTGGAGATTTGGTAGAGGTCAGCTGAACATATAATGGACAATGAATGGGCAGAGGAATGAAGGGATAAGAGAAGAAAATATTTCCCAACTAGAGGGAAGTCCAGGGCACAGTGAAAACAGTTGCTACAGAGCCTTGATTCTCAACATGTGGTCCGGGGACTGGTAGCATCTGTCTCGTCTGGAAGCATGAGAAATGCATGACCTCAGGTCCCACCTCAGACCCACTGAATCAGAGTCTGCATTTTAACAAGAACCTGGTGGTCCATGCACACTACAGATGGAGAAGACTGGCCTTCTGGTTACAAAAGCCCGGGAGACTGGACTTAAATTCTGGGTCTGTGCTTTCCCCAGCTGCGAGGGCTTCCTGCCGAAGAGCCCTTGTTTCCACATCTGTCAAATGGACGTGATGGTGGAGGCTACTCCTGGGCCTCATTGTGAGGATCAAACATGAACCACAGATGTGAAGTGTCTTGCACAATGTGCTTGGCGAATGGAAAGGGCTTAATACATATCAGCAGCTCTTATTATCTCTGTCCCTCCCACTGCCCAAGAGGCGAAGAAGAAAGAAAGAGCAACCTGCTGAGGCTCTAGGCAGACTCTGTGCCCTGGGGTTTCCACACCGGGAGCTGATGGTGGGTCTGGCTGGCCTCTGGGCTGTTCCTTCCTGCCTGGGGCTCCCTCCGAGGGGCACTGCTGACGTGAGCGGCGTGGCCTTTCCCTCAGCTGTCAGCCACAAGCCCCAAGCTTCCTGGAGCTGAGGACACCAGCCAGACAGAGAGAACCACCCTTTCCCTGGAGCTGAGTCATGTTATCTCTATTCAGACTGGATCAGGGCAGGTGGGAAGCTTACAGGCCAGCAGAGATGCCCCAGGCCAGGGATTGGGTGACACACTGGCGCGTGAGTCACTCTTATTACATAAGGGCAGATCAAGAGTATTCAAATGCCACACAAGCCCAAATCTGTCCCCACGGACTGAGAGGGGGTGTCGGGAAGGAAACCGGTCTACAGACACGTCCTGGGATCTCTGTGCCCATGGACAGTATCTTCTTTATCAGAGGTAGCAGCGGCCGTCTTGATGTGGTTATAATTTGAAACAGACATAAAAATTCCTTTTACAAGACCAAGGAAAAACTGTGGGTAAATTTAACAAAGAGATGGAGACGAATTAGCACCCAAACACAGGAGGTAGAGACATGCAGCAACTCTTTCCTAAATGCTGCATGAAAAAGAAAAATGTGGAGTCAAATAAGAAAGCAATTTAATAGAGGGAATGCATTTATTTAAAGAAAATGGAAATAAAGCTTTTATACTGATTGAGTTAACAAACATCTTCCTCTGATGTAAATTTTTGAGGCTCCTGAACTGGGCAGGGATTGAGACCCATGGTCCCACCAACAGGCAGGGAGCTACAGCAGCATTCTGGAGGCAAGCTGGCCCTGAAAAGACTGGGGACACTGGACCTTCTAGGTTTGTGCCCACTACACTCTGGAATAACCAGTGTATTTATGAAGAGGGCCACCATTGCTGAATTATTACTTACAATAGGGAAATTTTGAGAACACCTGATAAATTCAACTGGGTGCTTTGGTTTGTAAGTGATAACTATTAGCTGTGCCCCTGTGGGAGACTTGGAAATCCTTGGAGCCATAGAAAATGCTACTGAGAAGGTGCTGGGTTAAATTCTAAAGCAGAGGCAAGATTCCTTTTTAAGCTTTAGGGTCAAAGCTGTGTTAACAACAACAAAAGGTGCCTTTACTTTGAAAAAATATCAAACTGTAAAAGACTTGAATGAAACATAAATCTATTACCAGTGGTTATTGGAATTCAGTAAAGATTTCCCCCTTTGAGATAAAGTTTTTAAACTTTCCTTGTTAGCATTATTTTTATAATATAAATGTGTAAATACATATATGTGTAATACATAAATGTATGTGTAAATATATATAATTTAGTCAATATATATGCACCTATAAATATCTATCTGTCTGCCTCTATAAGATCAGTGTGGGTGGCATATGCCTATAATCCTAGCTATTTGGGAGGCTGAGGCAGGAGGCTGAGGCTGATTGCAAATTTAAGTTCTTCCTGAGAAATATAATGAAACTCTCTCAAAATTTTATAAAGGGTAGGGGTAGCTCAGTGGTAGAGCACCCTGCATTCAATTCTTAGTACCACAGGTACACACACTTTCTCTCTGTCTCTCTCTGTGTATGCATACACACACACACACACACACATACATACATAAATATATATGTATACATATATAAACAATATATGATATATAATATGAATACTCTGATAGGTATTAAACTGTAAGATTAAATTTGAAGGCCGAGGACTCTGGCTAGTAGTTTATGTCCATACATCTTATTTTCTTTTATGTGTACGTGCAAATGGTGGTCAGCAAATAAAGATTAATAATATTCAACTTTAGCACTTAAGCCTAGTGAACTTTAGAAGAAAACTTGTATGGGTGTGTATCCTGTGCTGTATCAATCCCCATGCACTGGATATTTCTGTGTAGGGAATACTGACTGATTTCCTCATTGCTGGCCTCACCAGGCAACAGTTCTGTGTGGTGGTTACAGGTACTTTGACCTTAAAGTGGTTGAATCAGGTGGCCACAGAATTGGTACCCATTCCCTTTTATCTTTCCCCCCACACTGTCCATAAATGTCAGTGGCCTGGGTTCTTCTGGGTCATAGAATGTGCACATCAGGTCCAAGGAACAAACTCTTTGGCATTCCCAACCCCAACACAATTGTGGAATTCCAAGTCTCCCTGAATGTCAATAGGTCTGTGTTCCTACAACCAAAAATGTAAAAGGGAGCATCCCTATTACCTCTCACATAATCTCCAGAAATTTATTTTAGGTAAAATCTGACTGTAATTAGAAGAGAATGAGCAAAACCAGACACCAATGTCCTGATACATCAACCTGGCTCGTCTTATGATTCAGCCAAACAGGGGGCTTCTGAACACATGCATAAATCAGGAGGCACAGAGCCCTTTCCAAGCTCCGGCCCACCAGAAGAAGTATAGCCATGCCCATCTTACAAAGGCCCATCTCTTCTCCTCCTGGTGTCCCCTAGGCAGGGATCAGCAAACCATTATCTATCTATATACCTACCTACCTACCTACCTACCATCTCTCTCTTTATTTTTGATAAAATGTTTGGAATTAGTCATATAAATATGTAAGCTGCCTTTTGACTTTAATTTTGCCCAGAATATTTACTCTCTGGCTCTTTAAGGAAGTATTTCCTGAGGGTTTGCATTGTTCCCACCCCAGTCCCTGGCTATTTCCCGTCTGAGGTCCTGTGCAGTTCTTATTGGTACCCCTGGCCCACTCTGGTTCTCCCCACACTTCTTTCTGTACAAGCATGCAAAATACAAACCAGAGTATGAATTTCCCTTGTGGAGAAGCTTCTGATGGTTGCTCACTGCTCAAATGAAAGTCAAGCCCTGCGTTGCTCTTCCAGCCCAGAGCCCTGCCTGCCTCTGCCCTCACCAGCCCTGGCTCTGTTGTCCCTGTGCCCAACCTTTCTCTTCCCTCTGACACAGAGCCTTTAAACATGGCCCTAGAATATAAGCCTTGTGAAGGCAGGGACCTGGTCTTGGTAACATTCCCCAAGATGGTGCCTGGTGCTTGATAGGCATTCAACACATACTTATTGAATAAAAGCAAATGACCTTGAATTTTCACAGCAAACTTTTGAAGTAGGATTTAAAAAAAAAAAGTGCAGATAAATAAAAAGAGGCTCAGCAGAGAGGGGAATACAGGAAGTGGTAGAAACAGATTGGAATGAGAGCTCAGAGCTTTCTGACATCTTGCTCCAGGGAGTGCTTCATTCCAACACCAAAGTGATCCTTTGCTACACCACCCACCACCAGTCACTACATCTTTAAACATGAGATCTTCTTACAGAGGAAACACCTTGGTCCTTGTGCCAGAGTGGCCTCTGCATATCCTGACTGCAGGCTGCCGAGTGGTGCCACATGACTGAAGGTTTGCCTGCAATGTGCTGTAATCCCTGAAAGCTGGGGTCTGCTTTGAGCCTGAGAACCCTGCTTTCCTGCTAGAAACTTCCCATGTAGAGGGAGTCAAATACCCCTTGTCCATCCTTGAAGCACAAGGCCACTCCTCCACTGCAAGTTTGACTTCTGCTCATGTCCAAATGCCTCCTTGGGCTGTACCAGGCTCCTTGGTGATGGGTTGGGGTTGGTGGTTTGGTGGAGGGATTGGATACAGCGTTTTAGTCTTCCTGTTCATGTGGACTGTGTTCTTCAGTCTCCATTGTCACATAGTCTTCCCTGGGCTTGAGTCTTGCTCTTGCTACCCAAGAGGGTTTTACTCTATTGGTTCTTCTCCTAGACCATTATGCACCTAATAGTTTTCTTTAAATTGTTGTGTGGTTTTTGACTTGTTAGTTTATACAACAGTCTGGGACACCAGACCAAATCCCTGGCAGTGCTTAGAAGGTCCATCCCAATGTGCCTGGCCTGCATTCAAGCCCTGCCTCACCACTCTCCACGTCTCACGAGAACTGCAATGTGGTCCATTGTGAGCACGGCCTACCGCGTGTCCTGGCTTGTATGTGCCTCATCGTAATAATTCTTCCCAAGGAGACTGACCAGAGTGAGGAAGCTGCCCCTCAGAGGGGTGAGATAACCAGTCAAATTGCATCTGTTTGCTTCCTTTAGGGACAACTCCTTCATCTGAGATGGCCTTCCCTTCTCCAGGTCACAGTCCTTCAGATAAGAGTCCAGGAGCCCCCAGGATGCAATCCTTTGCTCCTTTTCTAAAACACTCAACAAACAGCTTGCACCTGGAGGACCCTACCGATGCCCGTTACCTGGGTCGCGGAGTCCCAGGCCCAAAGTACTATTGTGTTGGACAGAGGAGAAAAACATTTTATAAAATGGATTTTTGCACGAAGAGACGAAGAGTAGGGATACGTCGGTGTACCTCCAAATCAGCAACAGATAAAGGGGCCTGCTTCTTTGCTTTTTGAACCTGGTGCAAACTCTGCTTTATCAGACAACACGTTTGCTTTGCTCCTTTTATTTCCCCCTGGAGGCCGTCTCCCCAGGCCACAGAATGGAGAGCAGCGGGCAAGCCGTAAGCCATCGGTAAGCCAGCCCGCCATTCACTACCTTTTCTTATACAACAGTTATTTGTAAACTAATCAATAAACTCTTCTTGTTTTGTTTGCTCCTTTAGAACTCTTAGCAGCTGCCTGCTGAACCATGAAGAAACTTAAAATAGCGACGATCCCCTTCCACGCTGCCGCCTCTTTCCCCGTAGAACCCGCGAGCCCATCTGTGGTGTTTATACTCAAGGCCCTGTGAAGCTAATCTGTATGGAAATAAAGGATAGAAATATTCAGATTGAGTTTTACTAAGTGAACCTGAGGTTTTTCTCTTCAGCAAAATAGGCCAGGTAAATGTGTTTCTGATACAGAATAAATCACTGGTTGGAAGACCTACATTTCCCTTTCACCATTTTCTTGGAAGGAAAGAATTCACAGCCTTCTGCATGGACAGTGGGAAGCACCAGTCCCTCCCCCAGGGAGTTCCTGTTAGCATCTGAGAAATCTATTGCCCTGACGGGGGCTGGAGGTGCTGTGGTCTTCGCAGAGGGCCAGGGAGGAAGAGTCAGGGAGGTGTTCGCACCTTACATGTCAGGCCCTGAGTCCTCACTCTGTGATAGGACCCCCATGTCACAGAGTAATGTCACAGAGCACCTAGGGGTGAAGAATTTTCTCCATATTTCTAATTTTTCTTTTGTCTGACCCCAGAGACTGGCCTTATTTGAATGATTAATGATCAACCTCATAGACCTCTATATGAAAGTCAATAGTAAATTTATGGGGGAACTTGCCAAAATTCCATCACCAAATCCCTCTCTGAGTTATGCAACCAGAGATCAACGTTCTTAAATCTTGCTTTGGACAACTGTCCAGCTGTCAGTCACTGGGATGAGTTGTACACTAAATTAGTGGCCCTTAATACTAATTTCAATGGAATTAAAACTATTTACACATAGTTTTTGTGTCTCTGTGTAATAGAAGGCATCAATGAATTCTTCCAAATTCTGATGTGTCTGATATGAGAGCTTATAGGCAATGCTAGGAGACTAGAAAAGCAAGCTACTTATTTTGCATGTATTGTGATATGACATAGTTCTTTCCCTTCATATATTTAAACACCTTCTAAATATGGAAGAGTTAAAGATGGTGGATAAAGAAATTAAATGAAATGGGAATGTCCACACAAGTGGATGCCTTCCCTGTGCTTCTTATTGAGGCTAAATGATAACATCTAATAGGAATGCAAAAAAAAAAAAAAGCCAGAGTGCTAAGAACATTCCCATTAATATTATTTTTACCAATAATGTCAGTCATTACTCAACAAGTACATATTTCATGCGTACAATGTGTGGTGAGCAGTGAATGTGATAGACAAGATCCTTGATTTCATGGGGATTATTTTCTAGTGAGAGACAGAGACAGTGAGTGTGTAGACAAATACACTTAAGATGGAATTTGGGGTAATGAAATGTCCTTTAAAGAAAAACAAAGCCAGGAATGAGGATGGTGAACAACAGATTGGCTTGTCAGTGATGCTTCTCTGCAGAGGTAATGTTTGGATTAAGAAAGGAGCAAAGTGAGTGAGTGGGTGAGTCATTAGAAAGTTTCAGAGTGGAGAGAGTCTCAGGCAGAGAGAGGGGCAAACACAAGGACTCTGATGTAGGGAGGGATTTGGCGTGTAAATGAGCAAAAGGGCAGTGTGCAGTGAGTGAGGCTGTGTGGAAGATGAGTCCAGGGAGGTGGTGGCAAGATCATGAAAACTAAAGGGGAGAATCGGGATTGTACTCTATGTGATACAAAAATACTGAACTTCTAAAAAAAGAAGCATAACATCATCCAATGCTCCAATTTAAACATGTGTGTGCACGCACGCACACACACACACACACACAGGTATGTGTTTTTTGTTTTGTTTTTTGTTTCTAACCAGGCTCACTTGGGCTGTGAAGAATCTACTGCAGAGGCAGGATTGGAAGTAGAAGGATATTGCAGAGGTCTGACTTAGGAATTCATTGGGGCTCCAGAGTTGGTCATGAGAGACAAGCTTTTACATATGTTAAGGATAAATCCAGCAGAACTTGCTAATGGACTGGATATGAAGAGGATGGAGTGAAGTAAAATAAGACTAACTTCTTTTTTTTTTTTTAAAGAGAGAGAGAGAGAGAGAGAGATTTTAATATTTCGGCGGACACAACACCTTTGTTTGTATGTGGTGCTGAGGATCGAACCTGGGCCGCACGCATGCCAGGCGAGCGCGCTACCGCTTGAGCCACATCCCCAGCCCCAGTAAGACTAACTTCTTAGTTTTTGGGTTGGGCCACTGAGTACATTGAAATGATATTGACTGAAAGGACAATAAACCAGTTTAAGGCAGGAAATTATGAATTCTGTTTTGCATCTCCAACACCTGAGAAACTTGTGAGGTCTCCAAGTAAAGATGGAAATAGGAGTCCGGAGTTCCATGGAGAAATCAGATCCAGAAGTGTAAAGTGTGAATTTGGAAGTTCTTGACACAGAGGAGTTACGGCTAAGAGACTAGAGACTGGGTTGTAGATGTGAAAGAAAAGAGGAATACGGTCAAAATCTTTGGGTGAAATAACTTAAAGATTGAGAAAAGACCTAAGAGTTGTATCAGCCTGTGGTAAGCGGGGGAGACCAGGAACATGTCATGACTAAAGGTAGTGAGAGATCTCAAGAAATGACCTTACTGGGCCAAGTGACACTGAGCGTTGAAGGACAATGCAGCCTGCCATGTGGGAGTTGGCCGATGAACAACATCAGGGAGTTTAACCAGAATTGTTTTCGTGGAGTTATAAAAGGAGAGCATTGAATCCTGCTGAGGGCCTGGCACGGAAATGGTCAACGCTGTTGAGAAGTGGTGAGGTCAAGTGGGTTTCCTTATTTATAGATGGGAAGTGTTCTGTCATGTTCTGGTGAAGATGATTCAACAGGTTGTTGATATAAGAAAGAATAGAAATTGTAGGAGTAAAGTCCTTGGGTTGATGAGAGAGGGTGAGTTCATGAAGCAGCAGGGATAGCCGAGCCGTCCTGATGGAGGAGAAGAGGCCAAGTCTCTGTGTAGAGGTACAGGTCAAAAGAGAAAATGCTCTTCTCATTGCTTCTGTTTTCTCAATAAATTTAAGAATCCAGGTCATCTGTTGGAGGAGTGAGGAGAAGATCTCACTTGTCATCTGGGTAAGGAGGGAGGAGGTTCTGCCTGGGGACTCTGATTGCCCTTTCGAGTGGTCCTGGAGGCCCACTTGAGTTATGCAGTCATAGATCTAAAGCGAGGCCAGGAACCGTGGCTGAGAACTTTTCTGCAGTCATCATGCAATGCTCAGGTACAGGTATGAAGCAAGAAGAGAGATGAGTTTAAACAGGGGTGAGATTGACAGCAGCAGTCACTGAGGGAAGGGAGTGGAGGGTAGGAGGGGGTGTTCTTATAAAGATGAACCATGGAACCCAAACTGGAGAAAGTGGGGTAGTGGAGTGTGAGGCTGGGACTGGAATCTCTAATGGGATGTAAGCACTTTTGTTGGGGTTCACAGATCGATGGGATTCAAGTGGGAGTGCTCTGATTCTGTCCTGAAAAATATGATGTTTGAAATCCAAATCAGGGGTGACGCAGCTATTGATAATATACAGGTCTAGGGTAAAGCTTAGGAAAGGGGGAGCTAATATGTGCAGGGGGAAAATCACTAGAAATCATTGTCAGGTAGGAGAGATAACACGAAAATATTGGCCTATTATTTTTGGACAGTGGGTACTGAAAAAAAAAAGGAACATGGGAACTAATTTCTAATTTGAATCACTTACTTCTGTGGAATAGTGAGTCCCACCAAATGCATTAAGTCTCTTCTGAGCAGTTACTTTTTTTTTTTTTCTGAGCAGCTTTGAGGTCTGAACATGCCATTTGTTGCTAATAGTGAAGTATTGACATTTGACATAATGCTTCTTTTTTTTTTTTAAGGAAAACAGACTGGAAGTTAATCATCACAATAAGCTCACACTATCTAGCACACATTGTTCATTTATTCTTGAGAGAAGATGGATTTAGAACAGGGTGAAAAAATGCTACAGATTCCACAGCTTCTCTTGCCCACAGTGCAAAATGTAGTGAGTGACCTTGAACTTATGTGCCATTAATAGCTGTGGTAACTGTGAATTTTTGTGGTATTTTGTACTTCTCATGCAATTCGGTGGGGGTGGGATGGTTCATGAACATCTGGACACCCCATGCATACATGTTAGTCATGTGAATGGCATCCACCATGAGTGTTTATGGAAAAATATGTGAGGGGGATGCTGTGGGCTACTACTCTAGCAGACAAAGCGGGAGCCTCTGATAGAACTGGCCCTGTGAATCACCCCTCCCTGGGCACATGCTACTTTGCAATGTGATTTATCTCTCCTTCCACTGAGATTGAGAAGGCAGCTTCTTTCTCCATCCTGTGAGTCTAGCTGAACTTGCAACTTGCTGGTATCACTAAAATGTGGTTGAAGTGCCCTGGGGTGACTTCTGAGCCTAGACCTCAGGAGGTCTCGCACACTTGCTCCTGCTTTTCTGGAACATGGCTGCCTCCTTGTTGACACTACTTTTGTGGAGGATGGGAGAGGGATGGAGTGAGAGGCTCAGCAGGCAGCCAGCACTTGTGAATGAGGCCTTGTTGGATCAATCAGTTCCTGCTAAGTCCTAGCAGACTGCTGCCATATAAATGACCACGTGCTTGAGACCAGCAGAAGAATCATCCTGCTGAGCTCAGCCCAAATTTCCAATGCTTGGAGTTGTTAGCTAATGAGTGACCATTGTTTTAAGCCACTAATTTTGAGGGTGATTTGTTACACAACAATAAATGATTAATGCAATCATTAAGCATTATTAACAACAAAGACAGGGAGAGAAGTGGTGCTTACCAAGTACCTACTTTGTGTTAAGCAACCCTAAGAATATTATCTTGATTTTGCTTGATTACACCTCTCTGAAGAGGTATCATCTTTCTTCATTGGGTGAACACTAGAGGTCAAAGAAGTTCAGTAACTGGCCCAGAGTCACCTGTCGTGAGTGATAGAGCTAAGTTAAACCCAGGATCTGGCCACATGCCTGAATTCCACTTTTTTAAATTTTTTTTTTCTTGAGTTGACAACATCTTCATGAGTTTCCGCGGATCTTCCTACTACCTAAACTATTATTTATTATAAATTACCTTCTTTAAATTGACTCACTGGGATATGAAGCTAAACAAACACATATATTTAAAGAAAAAACATTATATTACTGTGACTAATAACCCAGT